GTGAGAAAAGGTTGGGTTTGGGCGGGAGGGACGTCGTACACTCCGGTGGTCCCTCCTTGAGCTGACCACCCTCCCCTACAAAGATGCTGACCCGCTCACAGGGACAGGCACTATTAAAGTGCTCTTAATGGTCTCTATAACGTCAGCATAACCCACCTCAGCTGGCACTCCCATTTAAATGGGAAACCTAGGGCAAATTCCATCTCATGTGCTTGTTTGGTTTTCTGGTTTGTTTTTTTTCAAGTGGTGCCTCCAGCAGCCTCACCGCCTCCTCCCTAGACAGGGCTTCCTGGGCCTTCTGCTGCAGCAGCACTGAATCACCTATTGCTCTTCAAAATCCAATTCAGTCTCACCTTGAGGATGACAAGGAGGGTTTCTCTCTCCTGCAGCTATTCTGCTTCATGATGAAAACCCAACAGGAGGCAACAGATAACATAAGGAGGGGTGCAGAAAATTTTAGAATTAATTTCATTACTATCTTGCAATCATAGAGGGATTCATGCTTGCTTCTGCAAACACAACCTGTGAGAGCATAAGTATGTGCACAGAGCAAAAGAGAGAACCAAAGCACAGATTGAAGTCTTCCCCATCCCTCTCCATCCAGTTAAGGTGAGGGCACCAGGGCCTTCCTTGTACCAGCTTTTCCTGTGGTATAGTAGCATAAATGGAAAAGCTCTCCTCTTAGTGCATTTCACACAGTGTTCAAGTTGATCTATGGTCCCAGAAATAAAATGCCTCCCTTCCTGGGGCTCCACACTCTTCCACCCAACCTTCAGGTCAGAGCTGTACGTTATTAGCAAACAGCACAAATAGGCACCCAGGACTGGGGCAGCCATAACTGAAAGATGGGACAGTCCTGGACATGTCTCTGGCCAAACCCTTAAGGCTAATAGAGGAACTGGAGCATCCCCAGTTTCATCAGTGGATCTGTGCTTGCACAGTGCAGTTTTGCCTATTGGTGACTTTTGGTTGGGGGAGCTGGGCCTCAGGCACCATGTCAAGAAGACTGGTATTTTCTGTGGTGATCTTTCCTGCAAGCACACACCAAGATGGCCACTAGTAAAGTGACTGTGAACTCGACACCATTATCCACTTGAATGGAAGAACAACGTGACTTTTTGTCAAGTCATTGCTGTTTACGTAATTAATAAGCAGCTGAGCAGTGAAAGGGAGTGGTAATTTGTTGCACAAGCCTGCCATGCCCTAGGCAAACAGAAGCTGTATCATAAGACGTCCTTTCACAACAAAATGATGTCTCCCATCACTAAAAAAAAAAAAACCACAAAAAACCCAAAACTGTGTTAGAGGACATATTTCTCATTCCTCTGAATGCCTGCCCTTAGGAAAGATTCAGCAACATTTTGGGTCATGCAAAAAGAGAAAATTCATTTGAAGTTTCTTCTAGCAATTACAAAGAACACAGGCAGCCCACTCACAGCCTAGAGACAGGCACACAAGGGCTCAGAACAGCATCACAAGATCTGTGTGCTACAGTGGTTCCTCAGAGGCACCGTGAAAATAAGACCATTTCCTCATCCTACCTAGGTTTTGCATGACATATGGAGGCAAGGTTCAGCCTTGCCCTGCTGCCTCTGGACAGGAGTGCCACACTCCATCGTTGCTCTATAGCACCGTGAGTGCACAGTGCTATCACAAAACTGCACACTGCCACTGTACAGATAAGTAATAACAGACTAATGCAAGCAAGACACTACAAATAATGTTTCTCCCTTTAGGAAAGGGATAAAGGAGATGTTACTGCTAATTCCACTTTTAAAAATACCAAGAGGTTCTTACTACATGACCACAAAAGCCACAAGTATTTAGAGAAAGATGGTAGCTGTACGTCCTCTTCTTTTCAGTGGTTAGCTCCTCCTCAGCTCTCCTTGAAGCTTCAGGAGCGCTGCCTTACACATCCCGAGAACCGCGGTAGCTCTTGAAGGGAAAAACGCGAGAAGCAACAGGAGAAGAGGCACAGTTGCCTTGCTAAGTGAAAGGCCAAATGCTGCTGAAACGGGAGCAGCGAGTGGCTGCAGCAGGGACCCCGTGGGGTGGCCGACGGAAGGAACCCACAGCGGCTCCCCCAAGGCTGATTCACTGCTGTACCCAATGACACCACCTGCTTCCAAAGCACAGTAGCAATCTGTGAGCTATAGGGAGTTCTCATCACTTTGACCTGAAATTCCTCCTGCCCAGTACAGCAGCTTCCCCTTCCCCCCCCCACGGCTGCTGGCCCTTTAAATCCCTATCCGTGTCCATTAGTTGGTCGGTGCGCGGGTGCAGGCCAGTCAGCTGTCTGTGTGAAGCTTGGCGGCAGGCGGTGTTTCAGCTAATGGCAGAAGTCGTTCTTGTTCCTAAGATACCGGTGTACACAGGGGAAGTGGTGTTGGGCAAATGGAGGCGGCTGGTGAGGAGCCTCACGCCGAGCCCCCGGTCGGCCGCTGCTCCTCCTCTGCCGAGGAGGCCGCGCTGGAAGTGTGGTGGGGGCCGGGCGGGACGGACCGCGCCCTTTACGTCTTCGCACACGCCCCACACTCTGGAGCTCCTCGGCCTCCGCGGGGTGCCTGGTGTCCTGACCTATGGCCCCGGGGTCCAGCTCCTCTCACTCCGGGTCAGCTCTATGCAGCTGCCAGAGAACAGGACAAAATCTATCAGGGAAAGGAAGGGAAGTCGTTGTGCTGTGGGTCTGTGTTAGAGTGGCAGGGAGTTAGCGAGGGGGGAAGAGGGAAAGAAGCAGTTGTACTGCGGCATATAGCAGGGACCGAGCCTTTGGTGGATTTGGATGAAACTTATGTTCTCTGTCCTTAGCTCAGGGGTACTTTGAAATAAGGAGGAAGCAACCCTGGCTAATTTTAAACTAGAGCTTGATGAGTTGATAAGAAGTGTAGCATCTGTAGTTGTCTTTTCCTGTGTAGTGGTTCTGGCAGCACACAATGCTGATGAACAGGGCATGCTTTTCTTAATACCTGGCCTCATAAACTCTTACAGTTCAGTTCTGTTCATGGCCCCATCTGTCTTCTGTTTTACAGGACTACTTCAACCTCTAGAATTTCCCTGGCTGTTCTGTACTTCCTAAACCCCACTGTCATCATCTTCTGCCATGGCTCTTAATTTTCTTAGTATTCTAAATCCTCACTCCTGCCTTTCTCTTTCAGTATCTTACCCTGCATGTCAGAGACTTTCACATTTCCATTTCCCACAGACATAACCCTCTGTATATATAAAAAAACACTTGCAGAGCTTTTGGTAATCCAACAGCTTTTTGGTTCTGAACAAATAAGAACTGTAGATGAATTAAACCCTTCTTGTCCCACTTTGGTTGAGATTTTCACAGCAATCTAGGTTTTTTAGACATTTTTTCTATGTAATGGGAAAGAAATTAAACACACATGCACATTGTAAGCATTTCAACTGTTTCATCATCACTTATGGCTACTATGGGACATCTCTAATTATCGGTGCAGCACTCTAGAACAAATGCATTTTTTCACTGTAGTATTTTTTTTTCTAGTAATAGGAGAAACAGGCTTCAGCCTTAACCATTCTGATTCTTGCCTCTGAAGCATGTCATTACTGTTCAGAGGAGGTCCCAAGTGCAAACAGGTATCACTTGGAAGAGCTGTGACCCAGGTTTCCTACTCTGTGAAAACACCATTATGAAATGAATATATTATGCGAAAGAAAAAAAGAATTTAAGCCCTTCTGAGTGTGAAGCAAAACCTATTTTCATAAACCACAGAAGTTTAAAGTTTGCCGTTCCTATAAATTATTGTTAGCAGTAGCAGTATGTATATTCGTTTTAGAAGAAAGTGACAAGAATTATTTTGCAGCAAGCAATTGGAATGCTGTATTTTGTGTCTTCAGAAAAAACAGAACTTTGACAAAACTAATAGTTTCATATAGTCTGTTTTATAAGAACTAGCATTTTTGAGTGGCAAATTGCTATGTAAGGAAATTTCCAAGCAACTCTAATTACTTTACTCCATCTACATTTCACCAGCTGGCAAAGTTTATGACTGAAATACATCTGACACGCTGTTTATACAGAACTGGAGACAGACACAGTGTGAAAAACATGTGGGTGAGCCATGGCTAATTACTCGACTCGGTGTGTACTGCACCAGTTGTAGCTGAGATCAGCAACAGCCTGAATCTTTGTCCCCTTAAACCTTTACTGGTTGTATAAGGATGATAAATTGTACTGTCATCCTATTAATTTATCCCTGCATACATGTTTTCTAGATTTCATGATACCCTGTGAACAGAAGTTAAAAATACTTCATTTCCACTGATTCAGATCTAGTGTTGGAGAAAAGCATAGAGCTGGTCTTGTGAGCATCTTCGTGAAGATTATGTGCTGTGGCACATCATACATCTAGGCTTTGTATAAAAGGTCCAGAAAAACATTCATCAGGTGAAATGCCTCCTCTTTGTTGCCATGGTATTCAGTTCATCTGCACCAGCATGTGATCAGCGTGCTCCCACTCCCTTCTGGCTACACTTAGCAAAGAGGCAAAGAGCAGAAACTACTCTGAAAAGAGAACATGAAGTTATTGCTGGACATAAATATCTTAAGACTAGTAATTTGAAAATGTTCCTAGCTATGAGAGTACTGAGGCTGTAGTACAATCTTCTAGTAAGAACAGAGGTTCATCAGCTGAGCTGATCTTATGAATGACTTATGTTCATGAAAGGAGCGTAAAAGTGCTGCTTGCCATTACAGAGGCCAAAGATTTTTTCCAGTCAAGTGCTCTTATTTGGAAGAAGAGAAGAGATGGAAAGTTTCTCAGTAGAAATTAGAAGAGAAAG